ACATACATATCTTAAGCTTTGCATTTCAAGCTTCACATAACTATTCTCTGCTTCATACCAATGTTTATTTTTCAACCAACGACATAAAACCGGATGATTTATGGAGATCAATGCTTCACTGTTTTGGTCAAATAAGTCAAAATTGTGTTGCCACGCCCAATTTACGTGTGAAAAAAATCCAAATTCACAAACACTCAGCATTTTTGATATAAATAAAGTAAAGATCAACTAAACAGACACAGCGAATGTAAACGAGATATAATCATTCACCTTTTACTACTGAAAGTTTTGATGAGTTGTTTTTGGGGTGATGAAGTCAGTTAACCCCAGGTGACATATCTCCCTTCTATTGGATGGGGCGGCGCGTAGAACCCACATGGCCTCCACGAGAGTCTGCACTTCAGATGGTGATAATTTACGGAGATGGGTGGTTCCCGCTCTAAGTAGAACCAATTTTCCTCCTTATCAGTATAATATATGGGGTCAGTCAGTTTGATTGGTTTATATGTAAGTATGGGTGATGTACAACCTTGCTTGGTGGGCTTTGGCTCATGAGATTTGTTCCTGTTTTACATCCACAGAAATTGTCGTGAACACCTGCTTTCGGAGAATCATTATTCCCTGGTGCTTCCATAGCGTGCATATTACATAATTGGCGACCCTGCCAGGATGGTTACCGCCCACTGGTAGAACTAACACAGAGATCCTGGCTCTACATATGTGCATACAGGCCTCAGAGCTAGCACGTTGCTCACTCACACACGGTAGACGCAGCCCCAGATACAGCAACCTCTGCACACGCTCACCAGCTTGACGCACCACACCACTAGCACCGATCGGTTCACGTAGGCCATGGTACACCGGGGACGGTGTTCTTCAAAAAGGAGGCCAGTGTAGTATACGGTACCCGTCATTTTGATTGATTTATATGTAAGTATTGGTGATGCACAACCTTGCTTACTGGGCTTTGGCTTATGAACTTTATTCCTGTTTTCCATCCACAGAAATTGTCGTGAACACCTGCCTCCGGAGAATCACTGTCCCCTTGTGCTTCCATAGTGTGCATATTTCAATCAGCCTTATCAGTCAAATCCATAGACGTTACTGGAATGGCTCTGCGGACTTCGCATGACTAACTTTTTGTACCGGGGAATTAACTAAGCAGAAAAAAATTTCGCTTTTGTTTTTTAGTGTATTCGTAATACCTCAACAAGAATGCTTTTTCGAGGAGGAGTTTGCCCTAGTGAGTTCCGCAAATGAGGGTTGAGAACACCTGTTGATATGTGCTAAAAGGCACCAGTACAGTAGACGATCCACTTTCGAATAGAGGTTTTCTCTCTAAGTATTCCACCTAGTTGTAATGTTTCCCACCTATTTTAAGGCAGATGCAATTATTCCTTCGAAATCACACAGGTTTTTCATTGAGGAACACTCATTTATGGACACTGTGTGGATACTTACATTAAAGAGCAACACCAGCTGGTCATATTTATCTCACGCATGATAAATCAAACTTACATCACTGGCAGTGACATCTCCGATGTACATGGAGACAACTCAAGCTAATCCATCAGCTCTCGGAATAATTAGAATCAGAGATTTGAGATAGCACGATGATGCAATTCCGATCTGAGTAGCAGACGTGTCGTCTTCAAACTGATTACTGTATATCAATGTTAGAGAACCAGGAACAATTCCTGGTACGTTATTTATCTATGGGAGAGTCCTAGTCGGCTGAAGGCCCCGTTAAGGGGAAACATTTCGACCGTGCACATCAATCTGAATAGATGATCAGATATCCGGAACAACTCATGGTGGAAAAGGTTACAGATTTTTTTCCATATTTCTCAGACCTATTCAGTCAACCCCACAGCACAGGAGGAACTCATCAACATAAATCCACTGAATTTGTAATTTTTTTCTGCCAGCTTCACGCATTTTTCACAGGTGTTCAGAGAAGCAAAACGCGTATATGCACTTACGCTCTCGGTTCTTACCTCGTGCTGAGTAGGAACTTCTCCTAAATATATTAGTCTCAGCAGCTTTGACTAGCAAAGCTGTAGATTTTTACTGATCATAAACTGGAAGCTTTTTTTCGTGGAGGTAAATGAAAATTCTGGAAATCTGAGTACTGTCTCCGATTTTTTGTGAGCCTTCTAAGTAGCGTTGAAACACTATGATATAGTGAATATGGTCAAATCCGAAACGGTTTCCGAACAGCACATTCAGTTGAAGACTACTGTGAACCAGAGACTGAATGATGAAACGTTGAACTCTCTCATTGACGTCAATTTGATTTGCAAACGAATGCTTGCGTACAAAGTAGACTTATTCTAATCCTGAGGTTGAGCTTACCCGACTAGCCATAACGTAGGCGATACCCGTAGTAAACTGCTCTGGTTTCCGCTGACTACACGAGCAATGGTGAACATTCAAATTCGGTTTCAATCTTTTCTTGAACTCTGGAATAATGCGAACTTTCTGCAGCATTCGACGGTGAGTAAAAATGACCGCTTCGGACACATCACGATCCATGTGGGGAAGTGAAAGAGCAAGTTGCACATCTGTGATAAATTTCACCCGTGACCTGAGGGAATGAGTTACTATTATGTTTTCAGCCTAATGTGACTGCTTTCCTTTAAGGCCGGTTCGATCAAGTATCATAACACAATGGAACAATGTGGACAAAACCCAAGACTAAATATTCAGATGGAAGTGAATTTCCAATGAGTGAGCGATTGCGTGAGCTGAAATGCGTCAATGACCTACGGGAGCTATACATCCGAACTTTCAGTTTATCTGTGGTGGAAGAATACAATCCAGTTGGGCCTGCCTTGTTTTAGCACACTCGCCTACACAAATTCTCAGTTTGAGTAAGTGAGATCACGAACATCTCATGTGTCATTCACAGTATGGTAGTTTGGACTTAATCAGTGTTTCCTGCGAAAAACTGCTTGATGAAGCCTAAGACTATAGAAATTGGGCAGGGAACGCAGCATGAACGATGTCCGTTGGCATTCTGGTAAATAGTCTGCTACTTTTGACATTCAGAAGACCAGATTATTGCAACAAAGCACGGATTGTATTCATCACCATCACATATATACATTACAAAAGTCAAACAGAACCCAGTTTTTTTGACGATACAAAAGAACTGTCAAAGCTAGACTACGGATTGGAAGCTTCAAGTGGAATCACTAAAACGTGTACCATGAAATTGTGATGTGCTGTTACAGAATGTACTTCGGTGCAATAATGAATGTAAACGTGTGCTAAATTCACGGGTTAGAATGCAGAAGCTGCAGAGCTTACACGTATATCTCTGTCAGAATCTCAAACCGTTGATACCTTTCGTCTGCGGGCGAATTAATTTTCCTAGCAGGGCCTAGTTTGATCGCAATGGCTTCCATGCTTCTCTGGATCTGTTTTGTCATAGACCGTTTTGACTCTGTCTCTGGCATCTCGGAAATGACCGCGAGCAAAGGATCCTCTGAAATTTTGAGCTTTTGACCGGGGCAAAGCAGCCTATGAGGCCTCTTCGGAAGGGGTTCTTCCTACTACAAAGCCTTCGATGAACCCCAGAAGTGATTACTCGGTGTTGACATCAGGGGCGACTAATCCTTTTAAGCCCTCGGCAGTCAAACAAAGATGTTTGCCGTCCGCGAGTAAAGTTCGGGCCCCTGGGTCGTGTCATCTATGGAGTGCATTGCAGCGCTATAAACTTAGTCCTTGATAAATATGCTGGAAACATTTTGTTAAAATGATAATTTATGCCTCGCGTTGAAGCTCATCAGGTAGACGTAGTCCTTGTGTAGTCCTCGTATCATGTTACTTTTCCGACACTGCCAATAATGCCTGCTTGATGAAGTCCAGAAAGAGCGAAAGATATATCCGGCTGTTCAGGTTTTTATTGCATAATACGAGCAATGTTAAACCATACTTTGCTATTAGGCACAACATACCAACTAAAACGTGAGATGGACTTTGCGCAGCACATTGAACCGATGGACATCGTAGATGATAGATTCAGCTGAGATTTAGTCGAGCAGTCGGTCAGTCGGTCGGACATCACCTGGTACATGAGTGTATTTCGCCAAGTTCATACCGTGTCCACTGCCCAGTTCCGCATGGAAGATCTGATCTTTACTATTTAAACGGCTGTTTCTCTTTTGGCCAGGATTTTTGGAACTGACAGAATGAGTGATCTGATTGACTGCTTTGATGGGTTCAAATGCTACTTTTGGTCCTACCCACTTGTACGGTTGCACATGGAAACGTGTCTCACCACTTTCGTTCGACGATCAGAAGACCGACATTGTACTTAACGTAAAGACTATGAATGAAAATTTGTGAGTGTACATTGAGCAATACTGCCTGGATCACTTCTAAGCATCTCCATTGCTACAGAATCTTTTGTCGGGAAGGTACCTACAAAAAGCTCCAGTATTTGTGAAATTCACTACAAATGACGATTTTCACTAACACGTCGACTAGTGATATCTGGAAGGTTGAATCCTCCAGATTAAAAACTCAAGACGTTTCTTTTGAATGGTCTGTGACTTCTGATGTGGACGTTCATTCTGAACTGGTATAAAAGGCTTCAATTCACATTGATCAACGTGTACTGTGAATTATTCTTAAGGGCATGAAAATCCAGACCATTTCTAATGTCAACTGTACATTCTTATCATCTGAACACACCGTCATTTGGTTTCGATTCATCGGTCTCACTTCTACAAGTCACGTGTTACATATGCTTACCGGACTAGAATTGCTCCTTGCAATTTTTGAGCTGGTGCAAACTGAGACAAAATATTCATTTTTCGAATAAAAATTTCCTTGAATTCCGAAGGAATTTTGTGTCCTTTTGTCTTCATACCTATCTCATACTTGTCTCAATTTTGGCTATATCGGACAAGGTGTTGTGTGTCACCCATAGCGTAGGGCCAATGTGCGTCATTGTACGACTGTCTCTACATACGTAAGAGCCTTGCATGTTTTCTGGGCTAAGCAAAAGTTCAGTAGCTTACAGTGTAACAGACAGACGTCTTTCGTTTGTTATTTATAGCATCCACGGTTTTGAAGCAATCATATTAAGCGAGTAAGATTATTATCGGATATTTTCCCATTCATTTTTACGGAGACTGTACTCACGGCTTTGTCTGAGAGGAAAGAAATCTGGGTGAAGCAAGGTAGCATCCTCACCCCAGATATGTTCATCAGGTAGTTAAGGCCCATTTGCAGGGGCGTTCCGTCAATTGAAATGTCGTGTACCAATAAAATACGGGTGTCTATCCACTGTATGTTCATCGTGTCTCTTTTTACTTTACGGTCATACATTGCTCATATTGGGTTTATTTTCCCATAGCGGAGCAAAATACCAGAGTTGATATCAACGTTTGCTCCAGAATAAGCTCGTTTTTGCCTTAACGTACATTCTTCTTTAATGTTTCCTTTTTGCATCACGCCTATGAGACTGAATGCAAATCACCAGGCATTTATATGAACCCCCATAGGCATTGAATTGCTTGGATTTTAAGTAGTCTGACGACAAAATGTTCACAGACCCATTGTTTGGAACTAAGCGAAACGTACACACCATATCAACCATCATAGGATAAGATTGTTATGAGAAACGTCACGGATTTACTTGTGATGGTAAGCGCAAAACTCGAGACTTGTGCTCAACTACTTTCGTATAACTAACTCAGAATAATCTTACTGAGATAAGATGTGGTCACTACATAAGTGCTGCATATGCAAATTCTACCACGTTTGTAGGCTATCAAGTTGTACAACAGCGAAAAGGAAATATGCCTCATAAGATATCCTCGAGCAGTTGATCGACTACACTTCAAGCCTCTACAAGAAGCTATCAAGGTCATGTTGATAAACCAAGCCTAGATCATCGAACTTTTCTGAAGGAAACTACATGAGTGAAGTCACTAACTCAGTCTCATCCTCATAACTCTCCCAGCTGTGAAACGCAACCAGGAGAACAAAGGCAAGTTTATTCTACTTTCCAATCGATAATTACTTGGCATTTGTTTCAACGCATGAACAGGGTTATCCCGAACCACGTAGAGAGAAGTGTAAGCGAATCACGTAGTAAAGTTAGCGGCCAAACCACACCTCCTTGCCCGACTGCCACGTGCCGATGATGTTGTTTCTGCTGTTAACTGATGTTTGCAACAATCTGGTCCGCCTTCCAATAAAATAATGAGTTTGTAATCCTGCGGCTACTGAAATACCGCCAATTCTCTCACTATGACCAACAAGGTGCAAATCGAAAGGCCTCTGGGAGGATCGGTATTCGATTGTGTTTTAGGGAAACAGGTTGTGTTGAGAATTGAAACGACTGACTAATAACCCCGACAAGCTGAAGGTAGACGACCCTACAGTGCGGACGTTCATCTTCGATTCATTATGTCTGAAGCAGGCAACGGTTAGGAAGAAGCCACTTCTCTACCAATCATATTCCTTCGAATCTACTTGACCATCCAGTGCCTGATCATATTATCACATTTGCCTTCACACAATCGGACTATGGATTGTCATCAAAGAGCAGGCACGCAACAGCTCAGTTACCAATGACATCTAAACTATTACACTTGAATATGTAGAGGAATATGTCAGAGGCTTCAGGAATCACGGTGGAGCTCACTTTCACATGTTTGACGTGGAGTGTCATCGGCGGCGTCTTAATTAGCGGAAGACTCACCCGGTAGTTGAGAGGTTGCCGTTTCGAGTCTTATCTAGGATCAGCACTAAGAGTAGATAAGTGCATCTTCAAACCCTCTTTTTCACAATGGGACTCTCCGGAAAACCCATCGCCAATGCAAACAACCTACAATACTTACTCGGAAATTTTGTTTTGTTAACCTGGTGTGTAAGTTAAAAATTCTCTCAAAGGAACTTTCATCCCATTCGATTCATTTGAATGTTCACCATATCATCCACCAACAAAACCGCTACAACTGGTGAAAAGTAATTAGTTGCTTAGACCTCCGGAGAGAGCTGATGTTTGCAAACCAGCTGAACAGCAGTGTAAAAGAAAACGTCAAAAAGACAAAATTTGGCAGTAACAAAGCCTCACATAATTGATTGTTACACTGCCGGATTTTTTAATCGCTGTAACCATTTCGTATCAATCAGTCGCGCAGGCTTCTCGAGAATTCTAGGTTGGACAACTCCTGAGTGTCGACAGATTGCACACGTCCCGCATGACGGTTGTCACCTACATGATTCAGAGATAAAACGTTTGCTGTAACAATCAACTTCAAAGGGTTAAACATAATCAAAGGCTTCAGGAAGGTCGAGGAAATGGAAGAACATAATTCAGCCAATAACAATACACACAACCGACATTCCCAACCCTTGAAAACAATACGTATAATGTGACGGCCAGGATATGTTAAAAGTGACTAGTTTTGGCAGACTTTGTTGCATCCCTTGAACAGTTATACAGTGTGCGGCATTAAACACAACTAGGTAAATTCAAACATTGAGTCATGTAAGGTAGTTTTTCGGATGGACTCATCAAAACAATATTTTATGGTTCGTCACGTCCCATGAAGGACTAACGCT